GCTGCTGCTGCTGCTGCTGCTGCTGCTGCTGCTGCTGCTGCTGCTGCTGCTGCTGCTGCTGCTGCTGCTGCTGCTGCTGGAGTTCTTGCTGGTTTTGGGTGTTGCTGCAGACTACCACCTGCTGCCTTTCCTGCTGCTGCTGCACGAGGCTCCCCGAAATCCTGAGTAAGTTGCGCACGGAGTTTTGCTGCAGCCAGGCTCACTGCGCACTCAGCAGCAGCAGCAGCAGCAGCAGGAGTCAGTGCAGCAGCAGCAGCAGTGCAGCAGCAGCAGCCGCAGGCACCGCAGCTGCGGCTGCTGCCTCCGTGCTAGATTTCGAGCCAGCAAACACTGCGGCGTCACACAGCCTGCACCTGCTACCTTTGCTGCTGCTGCTGCTGCTGCTGCTGCTGCTCTGCTGCTGCTGCTGCTGCTGCTGCAGGAGCAGCTACTGGAAGGAAAAGGGGATTTTCCTGCTGCAGATTCTGCAGAATGTAACAGCAAAAGACGAAGCTGTGGCCTTTTTGCTGCAGCGGCGCATGCAGACTCTTAACGAGCTGCTGTGAGCAGCAGCAAATGTTTAAATAAATAATTAATTAAAAGTTTTAAAAGAAATAAATAATAATTTAAAAAGTAAATAATTTATTTAAAATGAATTAAATTGGAGTAATTTGAAAAAAATAAAAAGCAAAAACAAGCGAAAATGTCAAAAGTGTTAAATTGTATATAATACGCAGCAGCAGCAGCAGCAGCAGCAGCTGCAGCAGCAGCAGCAGCAAACGCGGGAGTTCGTACTTTTGTTATTTTGGGTTGTTTTTGATGCTTTTTTCTGCAAATTACTCCAATTTAATTCATTTTAAATAAATTATTTACTTTTTAAATTATTATTTATTTCTGTTTTTCCATTTTCAGAGATTTGCTGCCTCACCTGCCGCCGCTCTGCCAGCAGCCCTTTTTGCTGCTGCTGCTGCGGCTGGCTTGCTGCGAGCAGCTGCACCCGCTGCTGCTGCCGACGGACCACAGGCAGCTGCAGCAGCGAGTGCAGCAGCACCAGCAGCAGGGACAGCAGCAGCAGCAGGAACAGCAGCAGCAGCAGCAGCAGCAGCAGCAAGAAGACTGCCGCTTGCTGCTGGCTCTTTGCTGCTTCCTCTACCCAAAGCCTGGCAGCCCGCAGCGCGCGAAGGCGAAAGATGAACTGGAGGCCCAAGACGCAGAAGACGACAAGCAGCGGCAGCAGCAGCAGCAGCAGCAGCAGCAGCAGCAGCAGCAGCAGCAGCAGCAGCAGCAGCAGGAGACTGGGGTCACAGAGAAGCAGCGGCTGCGGTTTCTGCACCCCAAAGTGGATGTGGGGCCTTTGATGAGCAGCAGTTAACAAATTCATATTTTGATTTTTGTTTTTTTGTTTTAAAATATATTTTCATTTCATTTGAAATATATTTTTGTTTTTAATTTCATTTGTCTTTTAATGACTTATTTCTTTTATTTGAAGATTAATTTATTTACAGTTTTGTAAACTTTTGGATCTTTGGATTTTCAGACTTGTATTTGGTGAAGTGCATTTGCAGTTTTGCATTTTTATTCTTATTTCTATTTTTATTTATATTTATATTTATATTTATATTTATATTTATATTTATATTTATATTTATATTTATATTTATATTTGTATTTGTTTTTTATATTTATATTTATATTTCTATTTATATTTGTATTTATATTTATATTTATATTTATATTTATATTTATATTTATATTTATTTTTTATATTTATATTTATATTTCTATTTATATTTGTATTTATATTTATATTTAAAATTAAATGCACATCTGCATGGCTGCGTGCATGCACTGGGGTGTACGTACACCTGAAGAACGGCGGCTGCAGGGCGGCTCCCAGGCGTTCATTTTTTGCGTTTTTTCGTTTTTTTTTCTCAAATAAAAGCAAATAAATGATTTAATTTGCAATTATAATTATAATTTGATTTATTTTTCGAATTAAATGCCTTTTCTGCTGCTGCAGGCCTTGAGTTTCGGCCCTGCAGCAGACCCGAAGGCGCGGCGGCTGGCTCTGGAGGCTTTGGGGGCTTTGGCGGCTTCTGCGTACGGCCGGTGGGTCTTTTGTTCTTTTTTCTTTTTATTTTATTTTAATAATTCTTTTTTATTTTTATTTTATTTTAATAATTCTTTTTTATTTTTATTTTATTTTAATAATTCTTTAAAAAGGGACTTTAAGCCTTTTTGAATTGTTTTCTGCTGCTGCTCGTGCTGCAGCGAAAAACGGTGCTGCTGCTGCTGCTGCTGCTGTTGTTGTTGCTTTTGCTGCTGCTGCTGCTGCTGCTGCTGCATTTCTGTTGTCGGTCGCTGCTGTGTATTCCAGTTTCATTTTTCTCCCTTGCTTCTGTTTCTCTTTTGTTTTATCATTTTATCATTTTATGAATTTATTTTATTTTTAATTTATTTTTATTTTATTTAATTTCTCCGTTTTTGTTTTCAGAGAAACGCTGCGGTGGTTTGGAGTCTACGAAGTGCTGCGGGCGGTTTTCTGCATAGAGCCGGAAGAAGAACTAAGGTGCCGCAGCAAGGGTTTAGGGTTTAGGGTTTAGGGTTTAGGGTTTAGGGTTTGGGGTTTAGGGGTTAGAGGGTAGGGCGGAGAGTGCTAGTTTACAATAGAGAAGTACCTACAGGGCGGGGGCTGTAAGCGAGGCTTTTCTGGGCATGAGGGTTTAGGGTTTAGGGTTTAGGGTTTAGGGTTTAGGGTTTGTCGCAGGGAGAAGGTGGAGCAGATGGTGCACTTGCTGGTCTTCTCTGAAGAAGAGCTGGCGCAGCAAGACAGTCAGCTGCAAAGGCAGGCAGCAGCAGCAGCAGCAGCAGCAGCAGCAGCAACAGCAGCAACAGCAGCACCTAAGGCGCTGACAGGCCCGGAAACACAGCCGGAACGCAGCAGCAGCAGCAGCAGCAGCAGCAGCAGCAGTGGTAGCAGCAGCAGCGACAGTTGAAGCAGCAACGCGCAGATTGGCGCGTTGCGCCCTGCAGCGGCAGCAGCAGCAAAGGATGCTGTAACAGCTGCTTCAGGTGTTGCTGCAGCTGCTGCTGTGGTCCTGTTGCAGCTGCTGCGCTGCTGCTGCAGTATTGCTGCTGCTGCTGCTGCTGCTGCTGCTGCTGAAGCCAGCGCGAGTCGCGCTGGCTCTAGAGATTTTAAAGCATAATTTGAATTTGTCTATTCTGGGCTTCTTCAACATCTAATTTCAGCAGCAGCAACAGCAGCAGCAGCAGCAGAGGTGCAGCAGCAACAGCAGCAGAAGCAAGAAGCTGCTGCTGCTGCTGCTGCTGCTCTCTGCTGCTTTTTAGCTGCAAGTGACTCGAAGGAAGAGCAGCAACTGCTGCTGCTTTCAGCTTTCTCTTCTTTTTGTCTCTTTTAATTTCATTTATTTTATTTTATTTTATTTTATTTTATTTTATTTTATTTTATTTTATTTTATTTCTTTTTCCCTCTTTTGTCTCTTGGCTATATTTGTGGCTGCGGGTCTGGGGTGTACGTACACCCCAGCGCAGCTTCTTTCCACTGCAACAAAACTGATAATTCTTTTCAACAATAAAAACAATTATTATTATTTTTATTTAATTAATATTATTATTATTTATTATTATTAATTGATATTATTATTATTTATTGTTATTATTACATATTTTAGGCATTTTTCTTCTATGAAGGAAAAGCTTCGCTGAGCAGCAAAGTGCAAAAGGCCGCAGCTCCGCTGTCTGCGCAGACACTGCAGCAGCAGCAGCAGCAGCAGCAGCAGCTGCTGCTGCTGCTGCTGCTGCTGCTGCAGTGTCGAGTCCTATGGCACAACTGCTTTGTTGCAGCAAAATGAAAATGTAAAAAACAAAAGCAAATTTGTTCGGGAAGTGACAGCTAAGGGGAAATCTGTCAGATCTTTTTATTATTTATTTCTTCATTTAATACTTATTTTTTGTTTATTTATAATTTTCTATTTATTATTTATTTATTTAATTATTTATTTAAGTTGAATTGTCAAATATAATCATTTAATATAACTATAAAAATAACTATTACATATAATTATTAAATATAATTATTTAATATAATAATTAAATATAATTATTTACAAATTTACACCACAGAAGCAACTTCATACATAAACTTAGGATGACCGAATATAAGTCCTCTAAGGGCGCTACAGCAGCAGCCAGCAGCAGCAGCAGCAGCAACTGCAGCAGCAGCAACTGCAGCAGCAGCTAGCAGTTGCAGCATCTGCTGCTGTTGCTGCATCCGCTGAATTTGCTGCAGCATCTGCGGCTACTGCTGCAGCTGCTGCAGCATTTGCCATTGCTGCAACCGCCGTACTTGCTGCAGCTGCAGCTGCAGCACCCGCAGCAGCAGCAGCTGCTGCGGTTGCTGCAGCAGCTGCTGCAGCAGCTGCTGCAGCAGCTGGCTGCAAGCCGCTGGCAGCAGCAGCAAACCACGAAGCAGCCGGAAATGCTGCGCCGCTCGTGCATGCATCGCGAGACACTTTAGTTTATATTTGAATTTAATTTTGAATTTAATTTTGAATTTAATTTTGAATTTAATTTTGAATTTAATTTCCATTTCCATTTCACGAATATTCGCCTTCTGCACTACAACGAACAAACACACCTGCGCCGCAGCAGCAGCAGCAGCAGCAGCAGCAGCTCTGCAGTGTGTCCGGCCCTGCAGCCGCCGCAGCAGCAGCAGCAGCAGCAGCGGCCGCAGCTCTGCAGCGCGGCCGCCCCTACCGCCGCCGCTGCTGCAGCAGCAGCAGCAGCAGCAGCGGCCGCAGCTCTGCAGCGCAGCCGCCCCTACCGCCGCCGCTGCAGCAGCAGCAGCAGCAGCAGCAGCAGCAGGGTTTGCTGCTGCTGCTGCTAAATGCGGCCGGCCTTCTTGAGGGCCTTGTAAATAGCTTCTCCAATGCGGGCTGGACTTTGAACAACTTCCACTCCCGCGCTGCGAAGTGCTGCTGCTTTTGCTGCTGCAGTGCCGCTGCTGCTGCCAGCAATGGCCCCCGCGTGGCCCATTCGCTTCCCCGGAGGCGCAGCAGCTCCCGCAATGAAGCTGACCACTGGCTTTCCGATTTGGTTTTCTGCAGCAGCAAACCACAACCCAGCTGCTTTGCTGCAGCAGCAGCAGCAGCAGCAGCAGCAGCAGCAGCAGGGACGGAGCGCCAGCGGCAGCAGCAGGGGCGGCGCCGCAGCAGCAGCAGCAGAAACAGCAGCAGGAGCTGCAGCAGGAGTAGCAGCAGCAGCAGCAGCAGGAGTAGCAGCAGCAGCAGGAGCAGCAGCAGCAGGACCAGCAGCAGCAGCAGGAGTAGCAGCAGCAGCAGCAGCAGCAGCAGCAAGCCCCGCAGGTACGCATGCCTGCAGGAGTACGACTGCAACAACACCAAACTAGGGTTTAGGGTTTAGGGTTTAGGGTTTACCTTTAAGCCACTCCGCGGCCTCTTCCTCAGCTGAGCCGCCAATCTCGCCAATCAAGACAATGCCTGCAGCAGAAATGACTTGGCCCTTCTGTCGAGGGTTAAAACCCTAAACCCTAAACCCTAAACCCTACAAAAACGATTTAGTTCTTCTGCCGCAGGTTTTAAACCTTAAACCCTAAACCCTAAACCCTAAAGCAGCAAGGCCCAAACCTCCAGAGCAGCAACGCGCTGCACTTCGCCATTTAGACCCATCTAGCCTTTTCTAGAGCTGGCTAGGGTTTAGGGTTTAGGGTTTAGGGTTTAGGGTTTGCCTAGGGTTTGGGGGTCTCGCGCGAACTGCTGCAGACAGTCCTTGAAGCTGGTCCCGCTGAAAGGGTCCCCCCCAATTCCCACGCAAGTGGACTGGGCCACTGGGGCGGCTAGGGTTT